AATATGAGAAAAAAAACAAAACATCGCCATTGATATGGCGCGCCTTCACCCTGCGTTTGTTTGACCACGGCTGACGAGGACGGCGTTGATGATTAAAGTTTGAATGAGAAGTTGCTTTAATAAGCGCGACAAAAAACAATATCGACTCTTATTGAGCATCCATCCAAACACGGTCCGTGTTTGTGTTTATAGCCATCCATTCTTTCGGCGTGCGGCGCCACGTAACCTACACGAAAACTTGTTATGGCATCACATTCTGCGTTACAGCCTGCAGCACACAGGTCGGTAGGGCTACATACTAAATCTGGAAACTGAATCATCGTCCCAGCCATTCGAATTTTCGACTCTCTGAACCCCCGTTCAAGTCCACTCTCAAGGGGCCGTCCATAAATGACGTCACGCACCTAGGGGGGGGGGGTTGATAAATGTGACGTCACATCAAAATGCGCACCTTTAAATAAATATAGAGACAACACGTTCTAGTTAATTAAATAGACTTTTTAATGCATGTTTTCTCCTACAGCATCAGAGTGCAGCGCCACATTAAATACGCACAATGGCAATAGTTTAAAGCGATTTGAAGCATGTTTGTTTGTTTTTGGGGGGGGGGGGGGGGCAGAGCTTTGTGACGTCATATTTGAGGGGGGGGGGGTCTGACTTTTTGTGACGTCGTGTGACGAGGGGGTAAAAAAATCGTCCAAAATCGCGTGACGTCATTTATGGACGGCCCCCAAGACTAAATTTCCGCTCTCCATATGGCTGTGGCTGTCTTTATCTCTCCCTTTCTCCCTACACTACGTGTGCAATACTCTCTATACATCAGCACTTTTGAAAACGAATTTCTCTAGAACTGCTTTTTGTGTTTAGTTTGCTGTCCTTCCCCCGCACCTCCGATTGGCACGGTTGGATACGTACGGCGTGAAAGAAATTCAACAGACACACACGACTTGGCTGTGACTGTCATCGTATTTGACAATCGACCATCATCCCTTGTAACCATGTGTCATGCCCAAACTTACTTTTCTTAAAGCCATATACATCTACATAGCGTTGTCATTGCATTACACGGCACACACTAGGGCAGCGATAACATACTGTAGACGTGAAAAGTGGTGTGTAATCTATAGGCCTGTAAACTACCATGTGTGCTTTATCTGACTTTTGCAAAGTCTCGATCATAATTCTCATCGTAACATTGTGGCATTCCACTTTGTTGTTTACAAGCAGTTACAGTCTACTACTACGACCGCCCGTATGCATCATCAATTTAAAGCGGAAAATTCACTGCAAGTAAATGAAATATGCTTTTTTTGTGTGTGTGTGTGGTGCACTGCTGCATTCTTCCCTTCAACTCCAACGCGCACAATGTTTTTATTTTCCCAATGTCCGTCACTGTCCTCGGGGATTTCAATCGCACGACTTACTCCGAGTAAAGCGCATGAATGCTGCCCGCGACTCCCACCGAGCTCACCGCATGCCAAGCCCCGACTATGCCGGTTTTTATTTCTCTTCCGTTGTCAATGTCCGCGTTCATTAGGGCCGCGTGTGTGCCCACGGTACGCACATTCGCAATTAACTCAAGTATTCATTCAGACTTTCATCCCCGGCTTCTATTTTTAAACACGAATGGTGCGGCGATGCCGTCACAGACAACGTGACTCCCACGTTAATACGTCAAGTGGCCTTTGTTTTTCTTTCTGCTAGCCGCGTGCGTGAGCTGTTGTCAAATTGATGCGATCGTAGTGCTTTAAATACATAAACCGATTGGGATGTTAACCCTCTTGTTCAAACATGAACAATCTTCACTGTGAAGAACAATGGTCCGATTTTTTCATAATATAGGGGTTTTTTTTGGGTTAGATCGCGTAAAAATAAATGTGCCGTCAAACCCCACACCACCCGACACAAACAATTAGTAAGGTTTGTCACGTAAACAGAATATGCCAATTATGTACGAATTTGCATATTCTGTACGAATTAGCATGTTCTGTTTACGTGACAAACCTCACTAATTGGCTGTGTCGGGTGGTGGCGGGTTTAACGACACATTTCTATATTTACGAAAAAAACATGGCTATCGGTCGCGAAAGCCTACGTGTTCAACGGTCAAATTGTTATTTATTTTTTTAAACACTAAAGGCAAAACGCGACGACCGTCCATTGGTGGATGAAGACGCCGCCTTGACACTAAGGTCATGGCGGGCGGGGGGGGGTTAACCATACTTCACCACGCTGGCAAGTGCGAGTTGGTCGGGGATGGGGGAGGGGCAGCACCATTTCCGATATTATTTACCACTGAGGTTAGCCGTGGCCGGAATCTAACTTATGTGACTGGCTGAAGACCCCGGCGCCGGCCCAGGACACGCTGCTGGTGGGATGATGTCGCTCGGCTGTGTATAGTAGTATATAGTGTAGTGTATAGTGTAGTGTATAGTGTAGTAGTGTATAGTAGTGTATAGTGTAGTGCATAGTGTAGTAGTAGTGTATAGTGTATTGTTGTATATAGTGCAGTGCATAGTAGTGTAGAGTATAGTAGTGTACAGTTTAGTAGTGTTAAGTGTAGTACTGTGTAGTAGTGTATAGTGTAGTGTATAGTAGTATATAGTGTAGTGTATAGTAGTGTAATTTGTAGTAGTGTAGTATATAGGTTAGTAGTATTAAGTGTAGTACTGTATAGTAGTGTATAGTGTAGTGTATAATAGTGTATAGTATAGTGTATAGTAGTGTATAGTGTAGTGTATAGTCTAGTGTATAGTAGTGTAGTGTATAGTAGTGTATAGTGTAGTGTATAGCAGTGTATAGTGTAGTGTATAGTGTAGAGTATAGTGTAGTGTATAGTAGTGTATAGTAGTGCTGGAGTCTGTCGCCAGAGAAAGCGAGGTGTGGATCGCCACTACTCAACACGCTGCTGCCGCCGCGACCCTCACCAGAACAAGCGGACTGAGAAACGAACGAACGAACGAGGAATATATATATTTATACTGGAGGTATCCGACGAGCTATAAAGCTCTTTTTCACCAGATGTCCAGTTGGGGCGGATCAGAACGTTACAATAATATAGTTCACAGTGCAGTGCGCTCAGCAAAATATGCTTAATCGGGAATACTCAATAGCGCACTATTATGATAACTTTGTAGAGTAGCCAAATACATTACATATACCGCGGATTATCTGTGCGTACACGTTGTCATGATGATTTAGTATTCCTGAAGAACTCCGCGTGGCAAATTATTTTCACATTACAAACGCCGCGTTAGCATATTTAGCCTGGAGTCAAGAGGATTTCCTTGCGCGTGATGTCGTCGACTGCGTCGTCTGTAGTGACAGGCTCGAGTTATCAATGTGTTGGATTTTTATATTAGACAGTAGGCTGCCGCAGTGCCTGTGCTGTTTCTGCATATTGCAGTCCCCGTTGTACTATACACACACACATAAATATCAATGTTGAATCATCTCTTTAGGTCCACGACTTAGTTTCAACCGTGAATAAAAGCCTGCTTGGGCACTACACGGCCGTCAGAATGGAAGAGGTCCCAGAGTTAAGAGGCAAGGCGGAGTGGCAGCCAAGGCATGGATGGAATGCATCCGAGATTCATGTCCATCGAGGAGATGGAGTGATGGAACCTGCCCGTGTGGGCTATTACACGCAAGTTCCTGAGAAAGGATGAAGGCTTGGGGAGGGGGGGGGGTCCAATCCAGCGGTGGATTGATCATGGACGACGACAATGATACCATCTACGAACGATCTACGACCAATCTTCATAATTCTGGCAAAATTGCCCGATGATGCTGAATGTGATTACCAGCGAAATGTCAAAGCACTAGAATTGTAAATGTTGTAGAATTACTCTCCAACAAACCGGTGGTGGGCTGAAGTAGTAAGTAATTGGCCACGTTTTGTTTACGTGACAAACCTTACTAATTGGCTGTGTCGGGTGGTGGCGGGTTAACGACACATTTATACTTATACGATCTAACCCAAAAAAACCTATTTATTATGAATATCTAGTACCATTCTTTGCTCCGTTGTATTAACATAAATGTTTGCTGTTGTTGTTGAACAATTACGAATACACCCCGTAGCTGTCTGAATCATTTATCCACCCTCTTTAACCCGGTTTAATAAATTTCACTCACACATAAGTCATCACCCACATTGGTATGCAGCGAGGACATCGCCTCAAGCTTCGTCTGGTGTTTTGCAATTAAAATTCAGTTTTTATGTCATATAGGTTACACAGTTAGACTTCATTATTTCGCAGTCGTTTCGGTCGTCCGTACGTACGCACGCGCGTGTGTTTATGCCGGGTCGCTGTGTATTCCCAACACTATCTGGGTTACACGCAATCCGCGCGCACTAAACATTCCTTTTTTTTTACAACTCGATGCTTCGTGCACGTTTTTGTCGTCGTCTTTCCTCAACCATTGTGCCCGCAATGATTCCACTTGTCTTGCCAGTCGACCATACAACCCACGTACTAAATGCGAATGAATATTTTAGCACCCACGTCTCGCGCGCGTTATGAGGCCAACATTCTCGCCCTCCGCAACACGATTTCACACTCGCACACACGTACAAAGACAACCCCCCCCCCTCCACCCATAGCCCTTAGCAGACTGTTGGGACAAGTGCTGTTAGCGAGTAGCACCTATGAAGCCCAGAACGGCACACAGAGGGGTGAGCGGCCAGCACCACGCCCGGCCGCCTTTGTCTCCCGAGTGGTAATTTTTACACACCGCACCAGGTTCTTATTTTAGGCTGAATCGACCTAGGGGAGGCACAGGACCTGTTCAGATAATTGTCACTGGTGTTGGCCGTGAACTCGCCGGGTTTATAGCGCGGCGCGCTAACCGTTACGCTACCGCTCCCCACACGTACACACACGTACACACACACGTACAACCTCCCTCCATCCCACTTTCCTGGGTCTCTCTCGTGGACCCCAGCCCCACGTCCTCCACAGCTCGAACGGACTCCAGTCTCCTCCCACGCCGTGATCTCACCGATCCCCCCCACAATGCCCAGTCACACACACACAGTCACACACACACACAGTCACACGCGCGCGCGCTCACACACCATCCATATTCCTTTCCAGCTTCACTCCCCCTCCGGAGATCCGTCCCAACGTTTTCTGACAACGTGCTATTTACATCAGCAGAGCTGGCCTAGCTGGTCAGCTGCGATCACGCTCGCAAAGGTAGCACGGAGGAGACTCGCGTGGACGCACACACAGACGCACGCGCGCACGCGGAGAAGACTCGCTCAAAAAAATAAGCGTGGAGCAATAACACACCAAAAAAAGAGCCGCTGTCCATAACGATTGCTGAGAACGGGCTACAAACGCACTTGGATCGCACTGAGCTCTCATCCGTGAGTTACGCAGACGCGCGCGCGCGTACACACTCGGCAGAGTCGCTCGCGAATAGCAGAGAGAAGAGCCACGATCAACGCAGACGAAGGAGAGAGAGAGATATAACAAAAATAAAGAATCTCGCGCGTCTCTGGCTGGCGCGTTGATGGCCGGCCGCTGCTGCTAACGCTTGGCTATCTGGCCGCGCGCCGCAGAGATCGAGCGAGCGAGGATGTAACGCAACTCGAAGTGGCCAGCGACGCGCGCCGCACACTGATGCCCCGCTGAAGCGGAACCGCACGCGCGCAACAGTCGGTGGTGATGTTGTCGCCGCCGCCGCTGCTGCAACATCTCGCTCAACGATGCTGGCAGCAACAGCGGCGAGACAATCAAGAGGAGCAGCAGCAGCAGCAGGTCGCAGCAGTCCCGCGCCGCCAGCATGAACGCCAGGAGCCACTTTCGCGCATCTCTCGCCGTGTTCCTCAACTTCGTTGCGTTGCTGTTCTCCTCTACGGCCTTCGTGACCACCTACTGGTGCGAGGGCACGCAGAGGGTGCCCAAGCCGCCGTGCGGTCCCAAGACGCGGCCCGGCCCGCAGACGGCGGCGGCGGCCTGCCTGCGGGCGAACAGCAGCGGCGGTGTCGCTGCTGATGGGAGCCGCAGCGGCGGCGGAGCCGTGTACAGCTGGGAGACCGGGGATGACAAGTTCGTGCTGCGCTACTTCCACACCGGACTCTGGTACTCGTGCGAGCAGAACATCACCGGCACGGGTGAGCTGCGGGCACGCAACACCGCACGGTGGCACGAGTTTCTCTCTCGTCCTTTTGTCGCGATATATAAAGACAATGAGCCTCCCATCACCCCCCCCCCCCCATTTAGCATTTTGGGCAGACTGTTGGGGCAAGTGGCTGTTAGCGAGCCCCTATGAGGGCCGGCACGGCACACGAGGGGGTGGGTGGCCAGCACCACGCCTGGCCCCCTTTGTCTCCCCAGGTACTCATTTGAGGCTGAATCGACCTAGCTGAGGTGCAGATAATCGTCACCGGTGTTGACTGTGAGCGGGAATCGATCTCGGGTCACCGGGGTCTTAGCGCAGCGTGCTAACCACAGCGCCACCGCTCCCCTCATCACATTATCACGGTACACACACACGTAGGAATATGCAGCCCTCCGATGTGTGTTTGCGTTGTTACGTTCATGATGTTGATGTCTGACGTTTCGCTCCACGTGCTGTTAGCTTCTTTAGTTTTTTAAAAATTATTCCTGATGTCAGACGGTTAGCTCAAATCGCTCAGCTTTTCCATTGAGTTATTCAGAGAATTACACAATTAGACACTAATGCCAAACAACAACACGTGGTACAATCCATAAACACATCTGAGCGCTGTAAATATACGCAGCATCGCCAGCAGTATCACCACACATCTGGGTTATGCTCTCAAGAGGGTTGGAGTTGTGGCACAGCAGTTAGCGCAACCGTTACGATGCGTTTGGCAACCGTGGTGGAGTTCAATTGCCAGCCAGAGCTAACGTCATTGGCGCGTTAATGTCAGAACGAGTCCCAGGGCTATGTCACCACTAAACCGTAGTGATCGATTTGGTGAAGTATGGTGAAAAAAAAACCATGACCGAAATAGCGTGGGCAGGATTTTATGCGGCAGCGGATTAACAAATGAGCTGGAAACATTCGTACTCCTGTGTGATTATGTTTACGTTCGCAAGATGAACTTCTGTTTCGAATGAAATAACACGTAAATACGTAACTAGATCTCCACACACAAAACAAATTCAGCGAGTCCATCAAGGTGTGATCCATTATTAAAGAAGAATGATAGACATTGCTTTTGAACTGCGCCACTTCAATATCAGCAATAAATTCCACGTATAAAATCTACTGCTGGATTGAAGCATGTCCTTTACATTTTGAAGGTGCTTTATTATGCCGAAAATCTCGAGTGGTTTGCAACAGCAGCGCGTAACAGAATCATTGGAAACAATCATAGCCGAGACGCTCGCTATAGGTGTGTCGCAGGCGCCATGTGCACGGAGGGTTATTGGGGTGAAACCCGTGAAATACAATCTTCACACCATCTACCAGGGTTGCGGGTGTATGGCTTTATCTACCAAGCTCCAATTGTACGTTATTTATAATGCGTGAATAATATGTTCATAGCTTTATGGACCGGTTTTTTTTTTCTTCCAGTTCATCTATTAGATTTTGAAACCAACGTTCATTCAGCAGCAGTTTAAAGAATGAGCCGGTTTCGACATTTAGGCTCTCGTCAGCAGTCAGGTGTCATTGACAATATTACTCCAACTTATTTTGCAAACGGTAGTGGGCGTGACCTTTTTTTTATGGGCTTTAGCGTCACACTCCATGAGAGGCGCGCGACTCAAAGCAATGCAGAGTTGCAGTCTCACCCCTTGCCCCGTGAGTGAAATCAATCGACCTACAGATTGCGAAACTCTGTTGACAAATGTTTATTTCTACGCATTATCGCTGTGATCGTCTCTAACGGCTGTCCACCGTTCTCATTGTCTGGGAAAAAAACCTCTGAAATTCACTACCGCATGTCCTAAATGTCTTGACTGGATATCAACATTTCACGTAATCACCATCGTCATCCATGATGTTTTGATATTTTGAGAGAGGGGTTTGGTTTTGCTTGAGTTGTAACTCCAGATTTGATTAAAACGAGGCGTCATACTTGTGTCTACAATGTATAACTGTAGCTAAACATAGTTATGCATTGGTTGAGTACCGATGACATCTGGGGTTTCTCACTGGATCAAGCAAGCACGTTGACCTCAAATCCGTGTAACAAATGAGAATAAACTTAAACCACCAAACATTATTTACAAACCAATGCCAACATGTTTTTTTTGCAAAACCCATTCATTTCACCTGGCATGTGTTACATTGCCGAAACGCCAGCACATTAGCGTACACGAATCACACCCCATATTATAGGCTATATAATCGTAGGAATTCTTGAACACGGGAACATAAAATTGAGCGAGTGTACGCATCCATACCCCTGTTGAAGGTCTATTGATTCTGGACACCGTGAAATGTAGAAGCAATAGGCCACCTGGGGCCTATTACATGTTTCTCCATTGGCCTATTTGTGACACTGATGAACATTTTGACCGAGAGAGGGAAGAAATTTGGTGCGTCTCGGCGACTAATCTGTGGTAAGGGACCCTGGACACTAACCGGCGCCGTTCCACTTTTATTAATATATCTGGCATTTTGATTATACACATCCTGCCCATCTCTCACCACGGAATCGCCGTTTTCTGAGTGGGCCCAAACGCGACACGCAGTGCGATAAACTCTACTCGGTTCGAGTGTAAAATGTGGACCTAAAACGTGGACCGATTGCTTAGCTCGTGGTAATTGAAGAGTTGTGGAGCCATGTAGGGATTGCAGTGCTTAATATTTATTTGCCGACATTGCATTTGGCCGTTAGTCAATACTGTACTAACAGACTTGTGGTAAACAACATGTTATATTTATGAGTGAAAAGCTTCGTGATATTTACATTCCATTGTGTTTTTTATATAAAATAAAATTGTGTTCTATCCATAAGAAGTGTTTTACACACATTGTCTCGCTGTTATTGAAATTGTGTGTGTATATACCCATTCATTTCTGCATTTATCAACGTAACATAAGAAAGTAAAGTTATAGCCACAAACCAGGCTTTTCTTTTATGCATTAATAATGATTTCTTAGGCAATCCACAGACCGCGGTACAACAAACACAGCCTACCCTGGCACCACAAAAAAAAAACGCTATTTTGAGATGGAATGACAATTGGTATTTGGATTGATTTTATCTTGTCAGAATCGCAGATGATATCAGACAAGAAATCAATGCATTTAAAACCTTTTTTTCACCCTTGTTTCCTATAGATCCACACAAGGGCCATTTTCACATGTGCCTCCACACGCATAACAGCCACTGCGAACAGAGCTGGCAGATCTCATTTAATAACTCGTCTGAAGGGGATTCCCCCCCCCCCCACCTTGCAAATTACAGTCGCGAATGCTTGATAGCGCGCAGTGTTTTGACAACAATCAGTGCAAGGCATAAATGAATAATTGTACACGTAAGGTTGAGCGACATGGGCAACGTCAGTTCATGCATGCAACAACTTTCAACATTTCTCTGATGTGCCTTTTATGTCGTCCAATTGAAGTTCTTTAAGCCATTATTGAACCCTAATTTATTCCCTGGATTGTTGTAAGTTTGGTCACGTTCTGCCGCGCCTCCATTCATCTATTTTATGCCCTTTTAATACACCGAGGATCAGCCGCACACATCTGCACTTTTTTGTGTAATAAAATTAGAAAAATCAAAATGTACCCTGGCATTATGTGATCTGGCACGTGACCGCGAGACTGAGAAAATGAGCTTTGTAACCTTCAGTTAAATGTTTAAATTTGGCCCAAGTCAATGCACTTTATTACCCCTATTGTGTGACAAGAATACCTTTTTCTGATGGAAGTCACGGATTAGTCTTCTGTGGCCACCATGAATGCGCGTCAATGAAAAAAACCCGCTGTAAAATACCTTTTGTTTAAAGATGCAACGCTTCTTTAAGTGCTGACCATGCAGCGGAGATCACATCGTTTTTTTGTTGTTGATTGCATGCTGTTATAATTGCAGGAGTTTTAATGCGCCCGCGCATAAAGAGTCCTACAAAATTACTTATCTACTGCAGCATCTATGTGTACTTCACCGAGTGTCTTTTATAATTGGTGGGCTCTGTCCATGTCATGCATAAACACAATGCTTTAATAGTGCCCCATTGTGTTAGCAGGAGTTGCGAATGCAAAACGCATTATACTGCATTGTTATGCAAAATAAGAAACTGGGACGTCAAATCGGTGAGTTAGAATGTGTGCTATTGTATGACTGGTACGATTGCCACGGTTGGCAACGTAGAATGTGAAAGAAGTTCAAGGTACAAAACACTCGGGTTCTAGGCAGGCCCAGTAGGAGAGATCAAGAAAACAAGTCACTTGCTTTGTATCCCACACCATTGCACAGCTTGCTTGATAGGATCGGAAATAAATGAGTCCCACAGCGGTGATCTTTCATCCGAGGGAAGGGAAAAAGAAGTTACTGTGAGGTAGGAGGAACAAGTTGCAATAAGCAGGCATCTGGAGAAGCCACACAAAGCCCGGCTCTGCGAGGAAACGCTAACAACCTCGGCATAGAGAAGGCGTTTCTCAAGAATATCTGCCTATTTAAACGGCCTGCGGTATTCCCCCCCCCACCTCATTACTGGAATCATTTCCTACGTAAGGTTGTAGTCTATATGGAGAGAACGTTCTGTCTTGATACACATACGTATATATTTGTTAAAGTTAAAAGTCCTGCAGTTGTTGGCTCATGGCACTGCTGGTGGAAGGACCTGAAGTAGGGGGAGGCTCTAGAGAGGCCCCTCTGGAGAGGAATTGGCCTACTCTTCCACGCTGGCAAGATATCTTGAAAGAGGCTGGAGTTACCCACACTTTAACCTACAACAACAAACTACTGAGTTTTTTAAGAAACGTGTCCATTGTTTCAACTGTAGCACGGGGACATAGAATTTGCGAACTCTGGATTCAAATAAAAGTATGACATCACAAAAAGTAATTTGGTGGAGTGTTTGTATGTGTGTTGAATTTATTTCGCACCGTACGTAGCCAGCCATGTTAATCGGAGGTGTGGATTAGGAGGGCAATCCTGAATCCATTCCAACATTTGCGGTGCAT